CCCGGGTGTGCTGCTCGGCTCGGGCCGGCAGCGAGGGCCGGGGCTCGGGGACCCCTGCGGCCGCCTGCGCCGGGGAACGGGCAGTGAGAGGGCGCCCGGCCTGCGCCGCGGGCTCGTCACCTGAGCGGCTCAGCACCTCGTACTCGCGGGGCCCGCAGAAAATCGCGGCGAGAGCCGAGAGCTCCTCGTGCAAGGGCTCCGCCATGTCGGCGCCTCCGCTTCCGCCGCCACCTCTGCGCGCGGCCGGAGTAGTGCGGGCCCGCGGCCACTAGGGGGCGCCCGCGCTTGCGCGTGGGGGTCGGCGGCGGCCGCGGGGAGTTGGCGCCGCAGCTCCCGCCGGTGGAGTCGGCGGTGGGCCTCGACCTCCTCCTCCGCTGCTCCTCGCGGAAGGCGGAAGGCCTTGCACGTGGGGCTTGGCCCGCGCGACCCCCAGCCCACCTTACGCCTTCACGAGCTCCGGGCCGCCTCCCCGCGAAGCCCCCGGCCCTGCGACCTCAGCCGCAGGCTTGGAACTCCCTAGCCTGGTGCACACTCAGCCTCGGGCTGCAGCAGCCCTGCAAGGGGTTGGGGACGGAAGAAACTTGGAAGCCAGGAAGGAAAAGAGGAAGGGGACCGGCAGACCGAGGATCTTTGGCTGCCCCGTGAGGAAGACACCGCAGTGAACCAAACGGCAGCGATCTCCGCCCGTGGAGCTCTGTCAGCAGAGGTTTGGGAGCTCTGGAAGGAGCCCGGACAGACGGGCAGCGCTTCCCTGAGGCTGTGCGCGCGCTGACGCTGGTCGAGGCCTGGGTCTGGACCACCAGCGACTCCTGCAACTCCATGATGAAACAGGCATTCTTGAATGCTACAGGGACAAAGTCATGCCGTGGTCAGAAACCACTGTAGGAACAAAGAACAAACCAAGACCTGGGTCCTTTACCATCATCAAAAGCGTGATTTGTGTTTTTTCCTAAGGCAGCCAGGGACTTAAAAGTGGCTTTTGTTGCAGGCATATTCTTCTGTTGGGCTTACAAATGCCCAACTGTCCATTAAAAGAAGAGCAAAGCTTGACCTTCATTTTATGACCCCTTTGAGTGGAAGCCCTCTCAGCTCTGCGTAGAGTCATGTTAGGCGTGGTTGGCTGTGTATTAGCCCAATCCAACCTGTCTCATCACTGTTCAAGACTGACAACTCCCTGGCTCAGATATCTCCATTGCTGTAAACATAGGGTCACCCTGGAGTCCAGCAGGGCCTCACATGACTGCAGGAAACTTGCAGGTCCTGAAATCCCCTCCCGCGGGAACCAGCTTGCCCTTGAAGTCATGAGGCTTTCAACCTGACCTAGGAAGCCAAGGCTAAGGTATTGACCAGCCTAGCTCAAGCTCGCCACAAGCACCCCATAAAACTGTTCTTTGACGCCACAAATGGGCCAATCCGATCCTTTTGATCCAAGTATGACCTGTCCCACTACTATCCCACCTGGAGTCCTTGTCTTCTTTTGACTTTCAGTGTAAGGTTTTTCCTACAAATTAGTGTTCTAGTTTTAATTTCCATTATCACTAAAATGAGGACTCAATGCTAACCAGTGACATATCTAAACTAAGATATTATCTGTTCTTTGATTTTAGAGAACAAAATGACAATTGTCCTCTGTAGTAATTCTATCTGTCAGTGTTTTGGGCTTGCCTTTTTGTTTTGCAAGTAACAATTTAAAATTTTGCAGCCCCTTAAAAGTGGCTGGTCTTGCTTAGGAAGGTCCCACAAGTTTTGTTGTGTCCAAAATCATATTTTCTGAGATCAGAATTTAGGTGGCTACAGAGTAACTCCTTTCACTGACTTGTACAAGTTAAAATAAACTTGCCTGATTCTATGACTGACAATCCATATCACATCATCATTCTGTTTTTGCTGGAAAAAAAAAAATAGGTGGATTTGAAAAAGTGAAAGATACTGGCTTCCAAGAGCAGGAAGGAAGGGGCTGGGGAGATGGCTCAGTGGGATAAGCGCCTCCCTGGCAAACACAAGGGCCTGAGTTCGATCCCCAGTAAAAGATTAAAAAGGAAGTATGGCAAGCTGGACTGCAGAGGACATGTTACTCAGAGGATACCTGGGATTTGAGTGGCCCCAAGTAATTACGAGGCCTGCTGTGCATATCATTGGAAAGACAAAGGTTCATTTAAACTCATAATTATCTCTAATATGGCCAATTTGTTTTAAAAGAAAAAGTTTGGTAGGTTCATAATTAACTACTAAAGAGATTAGTGAACAAAATAATTCTTTAATTTAAAATATCACTAAGTTACTTGATTTTGGTTGAAAGTCCAGTGTTACTGTTAAAAAATGGTAGGAAAGTATTGATTTAGTTATTAGACTTATTTTTTAAAGATACTCTACAAAAAAATTGAATGGTTCTTATCCTAGTTCTAATTTCTAAATTAAAATAAATTCCATGAGTGAAATAGTACGATAACATGATTACAGTTGTCGGAAGGGTTAGGAGTCAGTCACAGAAGCCTGCTGTCAGCAAGGGGTCCGTGGAAACAGATGTAAGGGCTCCCTAATCTATTACTGTATTTGAATTTTTCCAGTCAATAGGCTTCTTCTCTGCTCTTTCTTTCTCTGATTTCTTAACCTGCTTTTCATACTTCATTTAGCATGTTTAAATACAAAAGGAGCTGATGTGAATGTCTTTTAAATTGACAATATCCTCAGGCACTGAACTCCCATGAATAAGTTTCTGCACTCTGACATTTAGCAGTAATCAGCACAGAGACAGCATAATGTCAGCTTGATATTTCTCACACTATGAAAATACCAGCTACACGTCAAATATCGAAGTCTACCTTAATGTAATAAATTTTCTCATATTCACAGGCTACTGAAAAAAGTCTAAATATTCAAATGTGGAATGAATGCCTACAGTTAGTACTATCCATCCCTAGCCACATGGCTGTTCTGCCCCTACATGCACACATACCACTGTGTGATTTGCTAGAGTAATATCTTTTACATATAGTTGTTCTAAATAGATGTCTACGAAGACCATAAAAGTGAAGTATTTAAAACTCCAGTCGAACCATCTCCAGTTGAAACCACCAACCCAGAAAATAGTTCTTTTAATTTTTTAAAGGAACTAGTTCTATTATCTTTCTCATGAGTAGTATGTAGACTTAAATACTCAACTCATATGTCCCAAATCTTAAGTTGAAACCCACTTAAGGCATAGAAATGAGCATACAGAACTTTAGGAGTATTACGAAAGATTGTTGTGGACCAGTCAAATAGCTCAGTGGATTAAAGCTCCTGCAAGCAGGCACAGGGGCCAGGGGTTCGATCCCCCGACCTGCCATGCCAACCCTGCCCCTGGGGCACACTGAGCTATTTGGGACTGGGCATGGTGGCACGCACCTGTAATCCCAGCTCTTGGGATTAAACAGGCGGATCACTGTAAGTCTGATCTAATAGTGAGACCCTAAACACCCTGTAGACCCTTCCCTAAAATACAAAAAATAAAATAAAAATAAGGAAGATTGTTGTTATCATAACAAAAAGCTTAGGATCCTAATGGAGTAAGGTATGAGTAAGAAAATCATCAAATGAGAAAAGTTAAAATATCTTCAATAATCACTGAAAGTAAAGCACAAAGAAGGAATTAAATGCTAACTTTATAAATAAACCTCAACTCCAAGAAGCCATGTTACTGATTCTGTCTAAAGCGTTCACTTTGCAAAATGTTACCAAGCACTCGGTGACTGTTGACCTGGTATTGCAAGGTTGGCCTTGCAATGTAAAGATGAAAGCAACAAGTGCTTGCTTTCAGAGATTTCAGTCTTTCATCTAGAAGAGTAAACACAATACAGATGCATTGCAAATTCTCTCACGAAGCCAAAAGTACTGGACTCGCCACATTTCTTTATCAGTGTGAAGTCCATGTTGTGATGCAGGTGAGAGCCATGAGTTGCACACAGCGTAGTCCTCACCACTATACAGGGGAAGTCACTTGGCAATGCTCGGGTACCTCACAGGCTTTCACAAGTACAGAGGTGGTGTTAGTCATTGGTCATAGGGATTTTTGTAGTGTTGCAAGTTTGCAAATTCAGTTTTCACCATAATATCAAAATATAAGCGAGTAAAGGCTGTGAGAACTTGATACGGACACTGTTATTATACTGTTTTGAAGAAAGAGCCTCCTCCACCAAGTGTGTAATCAGTATTCCCTCAAAACATTGCTCGCCCTCTCCCTTTGCTTGACTCACACGTGAATGGCTTCAAAATAGGCCCAGCTTGGTTTGTGAGAAACGCTTCACACGGCCAAGGCCACTGGCAGTCAGTGTTTATCAGTGTTAGAAAAACAAGCCTTCAGTATTACTAGGGCTTTCAAGTACATGTAGTTAAGTTAGTACCCAATAATTACTTTTGCTTATCACTGTAAATGAATGTTTGTTACTTATATTTTCATACTACATATTACTAGTGAAGCCATTTTTTTTTTTTTTTTTTTTTTACTAACTAGGATGGGATTGAGGATTATAAGACTATTTTTTTGAAACAGAGTCTTGCTATGTAGTTTAGTTCAAGCTGCCTTTGAACTCATTATATAGTCCAGGCTGGCCTCAAACTCACAGTGATCCTCCTGCCTCAGCCTCCTGAGCACTAGGATTATAGGTGCCAGTAGGCCCAGCTATTAAACTTCAAAGAACACTTTACTTCAAACTCATAAAGGGACCACAAATGATTAAAATCTACCAGAATTATTCTCAGTAGCTGAAAAATGGAAAGAGAAGCAACTATGATTGGGAAAGTTAGACTTGGCTCCCCTGTAAAAAATGGAAAGGAGGGAAAGGAAGAAGGACGAAAGAAAAAGAGGAGAAGAAGAAGGAGGGAAGAAAAGACGAATGTCTGGTGAAGTGAAAAGATGAACACTTCAAAAAATGCTTTTTAAAAAAGATAAATTTTTAAAGGAGAATTTATCATAAATTCTACAAGTGGTAAGGATTAATCCACCTGTGTAAACAATAGAGATCTGAACTTTTATTGAGCAATAATATAAGGTCTGAGGTAGGAAACTAACTGATGGGTAAATAAGAATTTGGTAACTTTTTTTTACTTTTGTATATTTTCTCTTTAGTATAAGTTGATTTTAGCATGTACTCTATTGATAATATCTCAAGGTAGTTGAGTTCTGCAGAATGCTCAGTTGAGCAAAGAAGAGAAAGAGGCATTTAAGGTGAGGGTGAAGAAACAT